TCTGCATTGGGCTCTCTTAATATTAAAAGGAAGTCTGTATTCCTACCTTCACCCCCAGACTCTTGGAGTTTGATGCAGTGCGTGTTGTTATGGGCTGAATTGTGTCTCCCCAAATTCATATGTTGAAACCCTAACCCCAATACCTCAGAATGTGACTGTATTCAGAGATAGTTGATCATGTTAAAAATGAGGCTGTCAGGACTCATAGACATAGAATACAAACTTGTGGTTGCTAAGGAGGTGGGGGGTGGGAAAGGACAGACTGGGATTTCAAAATTTGTAGATATTGATAGGCATATGCAGACTAGATAAACAAGATCATACTGTATAGCACAGGGAAATATATACAAGATCTTGTGGTAGCTCACAGTGAAAAACAAATGTGACAATGAATATATGTATGTTCATGTATAACTGAAAAATTGTGCTCTACACTGGAATTTGACACAACATTGTAAAATGACTATAACTCAATAAAAAATGTTAAAAAAATGAGGCTGTCAAGATGGGCTCTAATGCAATCTGAACATGTCCTTATGAGAAGAGGCTATTTAGACACACAGAGAGCTTGCACAGAAAGAGAAGGCCACATGAGGATGTAAAGATAGGTGGTTATTGTTAAGCTAAGGAGTGAGGCCTCAGGAGAAATCAGCTCTGCCAGCACCTTTACCTTGGCCTTCCAGTCTCCAGAACCATGAGAAATCAATTTCTGTTGTTCATGCCCCCCAGTGTGTAGTGTTTAGTTATGACAGACCTAGCAATGAGTGTACAACATTCTTCCCCACATTGCAACTTTCTCCCATCCTTCTAAGAGCTCTCTTCTTCCCCTGCCTCCACCTCCTGTGCATCTCCTTCAGAGCAGGGGTAGGGGGAGGGGAATGCATTCCCCAAGGTCACACCTGCTCCAGCACTCCCTACTCTCCAGCCAATTTTTTAACTTATACTTACTGGGCATTTTGAATCCTTTGTTGAAGAATCTGGAGTCTTTGTTTCATTTGTTCAAATGGGGTTGCTTGGAGGAATTCAAAAGACACACAATGTTAGAAGTTCCAGATCTCCAATAAATATGTCATATATCATCCCACTATCAATATGTGTGTGTCTGCTCATATCTTTTCTGGGGAAAGTCCACAGTTCTCTTCAAATTCTCCAAGGGGTTTCTGACCAGAAAAAAAGAAAATGTTAAGATTCACCATCTGATTATATTTGAACTATGGTTCAATTTCAAATATATGATTTATATACATTTTAGAAATAACTATTATGTAAATGAGAGAGCAGAATGTTTATCGTCAATAAATGTAAATGGTATCACACTCATTTTCTTCATTTAAAAAGATCTCTTATTTAATTTGCCATGAAAAAAAGCTAAAGCAAACTATCTGTGAAATACTTGATTCTGTCCTCACGCACATCTAGTCCCACACTGAGAGATCATAAAATCGTCCTGTTACTTTTACAGGGACCAGCATCTTCAAGCATCACCGTCAGCAAGAGGCATTCCACCTCACTCAGTATTTAAACATGCATATGCACCCACACACACAGATGTCGTGGCAGCTAAAGTTTCTCCTCCCCGCCTCTTTCTGCCTTTTGTGCCATTATTCATGGAACAACAAGGATTTGGAGATGAGAGTGGTCAGGAAGGACCTATACTCCTCCCCATGTTCTGGGATTTTTTTCCCTTCCCTTCTCGCCTCAGTTCACCATTATTATCCACCTGATTGCTGTAGTCACTGCTATGGGAATGCAACTGGACCTTGAGCCCCTAGCATGGTTGTCTGGACTGGAGCTTGGCAGCCAATCATGGCACTTCCTTGAGAATTTGAAACTAGCTGAAGAGTTATAAAATTCAAGAGCCGTTGGTGACCATGCAACTGAGTGCACACCAGAGAAGCAGAGAAAGTCAGTGTATTGGGGGGAGAGATAGGGAAGAGGGAGAGAGAGAGAGGACCGAGCAGGCAGGGTTGTGGGAGAAAAGGGAGAGATAAAGTCCTTAACACATGTCCCTGTTTCCAAGCTGTCGCTGATGCCTGGTTGCATTCCTGTCTTAGGTTCCATGGATAGCTGGGTATCTTACACAAGTTCCCCCCTTTTACTTAAGTTGGGTCAAATTTCTATTTCTAGTAACATCACTAACAAATTTAATTACACACACACATACACACACACATATATATGCACACACAAGAGATTATCTTAATGTAAGAGTGTCAAAACGTCACTATTCCAATGTTAGATTTTTAAAAATTGGGATGAAAACTGACTTGGTCTATAAAGTTATCATGAATATAAATGAACAACCATCAAACGAAAAACCCTTATGTCATACTTGGTGCTATATTTTGGAAGAGACTTTTAATAGTAAAAGCTCACAAAAGTGGAGAGTCCTTCTTGTGCCATACCAGTCTCACCTGAAATAAAAATCTCCAGGAACAATGAATCCAAACAATGAAAAAGTATGAGCCACTTCACTAAAAAGGAGAATGTGATGCCAGCCCTGCAGATTCTGGCTTGATTTTATTGCTTTAGACAGCAAGGTAACTACTGGAGTCACCTTTGACCTCTGGCCCTACAAAGATATTTCAAAAGGAAATGAAAAATATTTTGTCCTTCACTGGCAAATAGAGTTATGTTTGGGGGGCACAAGTGGCTAAAAGTTCAAGGTTTGTAAAAGTGGATGCTGAATAAGTTTAATAAGTCATGGAAGCCAGGCTTATTCAAGGAAGACACTGCCAAATAACTAAAAAAGGTAAATATCAGGCTGACTGATGGATTTTTAAAAAGTCATGTGGTATATGCATCTGATTCATTCTCTCTCTTTCCCCAGAATTTAAACTTCCTAGATGATGTGCACAGATATGTCCCATTTCCCACAGCAGCCCTGTAAAAGGTCTGTAAGGTCTTGGTCAGCATATATTTGTGTTTTAATTACAAGAGGGTTTTCTGGGTATCTCACATTAAGTGTTCATTTCCACAAAGACAGTTGCTACATCTATTTTTCAACTCTGTCTTCTAGACAGAATGTTTTAGTACTTCTGGAAGTGTGGCAACCTTCATACTCACATGCACAATCGCACACGTGCACCAAGGCTCCATTTAAAGTTAGAGGACGGGTATGGTGAACATCTTTTCAACTTAGTGGCAAAGCTTTGGCACCTGGATGTCCTGCTATTCTTCCAGTCTTTCTGTTTCTTAAGAAAAGGCTGAAACTCTTGCCCAATGAGAAAGTCGTCTCGTCTTGCAGGCAGATCTCTACAAACAGAACTTACCCATTGCTTTAAGCCCCAACTACAACACAGGTGGTTGTTTTTCTTTTTCTTTTTTCCAAAATGGGTGTGTTCAGCACTAGCCATGGAGGAGAAATTCAATTGTGTAATGGGCTCCCCAAGTGTGATCCACATCCTCGCAGGACCACCTGGACTGCTTGTCCTTTTTGGCCCTCTTCCCCCTCCACTCTATCCAGCTCACGGCAGACTGTGGCTGAGTGTAGCAGAAAGAGCTTGAAGAGAAGGAAAGGTGAGTGAGGGCTGCAGGGAGACAGTGGGCGAAGCACAGTTTCTGGCCCAGAGTGTTTATTAATTCATTCTGTAAACATTTATTGAAGCGACAGCATGTTAGGCATTGTTCCAAGCTCTACGAGTGATGGGGGAAAAAAAAACAAACCCAAAACCAAACACCAGTGTCTTTGCTCTCATCGATAAAGCTTATAACCCAGTGGCAGCTGAATGCTTGCGGAGTGAATGGATGCCGAGATGCAGGAAGTGACAGCAGGGGTGACAGCTAGGGGCAGCTCCAGCTTCCCACTTTGTGTAACTGTAAGAAATGACTTAGCCCAAGTCGATTTCACCATCTTAACTTTAGGATTCCGGTCTCTCTGCGTGGCAAAGGGAACCCGCATGTACCGTCATCTTCATTTTATTTAAAATGTGAATTTAAAGTGTCCTTAGGGAGGATGCGTGTCTGGACTGGAGCTCGGCATTCCCAGCAGCACCATTACCTGTGAGCAGCTCAGTCGAAACCTCTCCACGAGAACCGCCAGGTGGCACCTGTAAGGCGCAGATGGGCAGTCCTTCGCCCCACACCCCACCGCCCGGAATAGTCAGGCTGCGTGCCTTCGCCCGTGGGCTTGTTGGCGAGGAAGTGGGGGAGTTTTAGCCTCTGTTCAGACTGCGCGATTACGTGCCCTGTTTTCCTGACATCCCAAACACGCATAGTGTAGATTTGTCCCCGCGCACCCAGGCTGCCACAGGCGTGTCACACGGTTGTTGGGAGCAGCTCGGCCTCAGTCACCGAGCCACGACGTGGGGGTTGGCGGTAGGTGGCCGTGGCTGCGCTGAGCTGGAAGCCTCGCCAGGGTCCGGGTCTCTCTCGCCAGACCTCAACACCAGCCGAGGGAGGCGGAGGAGTGGCAAGAGAGACGGGTCCCAGGGTGGTCGCAGGCAGAAGTCCGGGGAACCCGGGGCCATGGCCTCCCATTACCCGCCCCCGACCCCCGGGTCCGAGCCGGCGCTGCCAGTGGCCCGGGCCTGGGGCGCCTTCTCCCGCGGGTTCAAACCCTGTGGTTTCCCGGGCCCCGGCCGCAGCGTGGCGGTCCCGGGTCACCTCTCATCAGCGCTCCGCAGCGGCGCTCCCAGCAGTCTAGCCTGGGGACCGTCTCCGCAGGCAGAGGGGCCCGTTAGAGGGTCGGGGTACGGGGCGGCCGCACACAGAGCAAGCGTGTTGGGGGTCACTTCAGGTTGGGCGGCAGGGGCACCAACTCCACTCCCTTAGTCGCGGGAAGCTAGCTGCGCCAGTTGCGCGACTGTCGCTGCCGTCGCTGCCTCTATTCGGCCGCCGGTGACATTGGGAGGAGACTGCTGGGAACGAGCAGAGGAGGAGGAAGAGAAGCAGGGAGGGGCGGGGTGGAGGGGAGGGGGTGGGGAGAAAGTAGCGACCGTGCCAGGGGGCGTGTGAGCAGCCGGAGAGGCGGCGCGCCGCTGACAACTTCTCTGGGGCCGCGCGGCGG